CTCTTATCAGGATAAATAAGAACACAGGAAGTAAAATGACTGTTAAAGGAGGGGGGGGGAAATACTTACAAAAACTGAGGTGTGGATAGAAAATTTCTTCCTCCCAAGTCCATTGGGTATCTGAACATTAAGAAGAAATAAAGATGTCCAACAAGATTTCCAATTAGCTCATTGATTACCCTGCAAAAAGAGAGCCAGATTAAAGACATTCAGGCAATAAAGTGAGATGCACCAAGTTTTAACGAATAGCATAAGGGAAGTGATCCTTCACTGCAGCCCATTCACAGTCCCTGGGTATTGATGACAGCTCCACAATGAGCCCTTTTGTAGTCTGAGTGGCAAATACATTCCAAGGGAGAGGGAAGATCAGTCCTGCTAAACCAATGAGGCCCATGGCTCTTCAAGGCCAGCAACCCTCTGACATCTCTTTCAAGCCCCAGTCCATCCTCAAAATATTGTTTTTGCTACTTCCTGCCTCAAGAGTCTAGGGAAGTTGAAAAGCAAGTTTCTGAATGCTTTCAGTCATGAATATTAAATGTGCAAAATGCAGGCAAATACGAAGGCTACTAAGAGAGACACATGGGAGTAAGGAAAAGATGCACAATAAATTCCTGCTCTCCCATTCCTGGAACCATGAAGCACTTCTCTCCTGCTTCTTGTATCCTTGAGTGTAAGGGACCACAGAGATCACTTAGGAAAGCTGACCTTCACCCTGTAATCCTAAAATAAACACTGACCTTCACTTTTCCCATGGCTTACATATAGGTCACCTCAAGATTTTATAAATCCATTCTTACTATTATATATCCTTCTTTGTCTTCACCTGCAACATGATTCCTGTTAGAGACAAACCAACATCTGCAACTACGCCCAGACTCTGCCTTCCTGGGTGGGAGAGCAGCCTTCCCAAGCTCAGAACGGGCTATGCTATAAACAGAGTTAGTCTGCTCAATTCATTCACTTCTCCCTATCAGTATGAAGAAAAAGTTAGGATCCCACAGAGCAAATATGTCAGACATATGAAGAATTCATCCCATTAAAACCTATTAAAATACTGAAAATATTTTATAGCATAAGAAATGGGAGTTCTTAGAATACCTGCATCTTGGTATCTTCCCTTTAAAATTCTGATGGGATACATTAAAGGTTTTCCTAAGTCTCAGCTCTAATTCTAGACCAACAAACTAGAAATTTAACCCTTCTTGGCCCAAGCTTCTATACTATCAAACCACTTACAAACTACTTCCCATCTGATAATTTGCATTTCTGTGACTGGTGAGCAATTTCCAGGGCATTCTGGAAATGCCTTAAGAATAAAAGACAGTAATTTTATGCATACCTGTCAGAAGAGTTAACTCAAACACAAATTAGGTCTATGTTTCCTCAATCTGGTTAGTGAATTCAGAAATAAATATTTATTCAAACACACACATATATAAGCATACTGTGTCTAACAATGAGCTAACAAAATTACAACCATTCAAAGTTAAATGTGCTTAAGGCTGGGAGTTTAGCTCAGCTGGTTACAGTGTGGTGCTGATAACACCAAGATCCAGAGTTTGATCCCTGTGCCAGCCATCCACCAAAACAACAAAATAACCACAATGTTCAAAGTGCTTAAAGCCCTGCAATTTAATCAGTTACATCAAAATAAAATTACTCCATAAGTATAAGGTTCTAATGCATCAATGCTGAGATTTTTTACTTTATAAAGATTAGAGAAAGAAGATAAAGATTAATGGAAGTTTTCCAAGGATTAGTTTCTAATTAAATAAATCTAATCTCACTTACGAGCCTCCAATGATATAGTTGAATCCAAGGATAACCCAGGGTAAATAACAGGCCTAGGAAAGAGTATACACAAATGTGAATAGCCACACCTAAAGAGGATACACCTGCTAGAGGGACTGAAATGGGTAATGATATATTGACAAGGGCTTTATATAAATCCTTTGGAAGGTCACTGCAAAATTTCTCGGATCAACCTAGAATCATTCCTGCTGTACTTAAACTTCCTATCTAAAACTATGCTTATTTGTATATTTACAACTGGACAGACAGAGTACTTTGCACATAGTTCAGATGCAATACATGCCATGCTGAATTAATATTAACAACCAGCTTCAGAAAGTAGATGAGCGTCCTATGGGTGGTGCTAAAAACATGGCCCATGACAGAAACACAGTAGGACTCCAACCTGCAAATTGTTACGAACTAAAAATACCCCATCTTTTTTAGGTTCTTCTTTTACATATCTCACAAAATTTCTTCGAATTTTTAACTCATTACACATTGACATCCTGAACTAATCACACTCTCCCAAACACCATACTAAGAGCAAAGGGAGTTGCAAGGAACTTCAAAAACTAGTAAAGAGAGGGTTACACATAAACAACTTTAAGGCTAAATTTGGTAAGTAATTCAGAGGAACACAAAGTATTATAAAAGCCCAAAAGCAAGACTAATTCCAGGCAGGAGACTCAGGAAATATGTTCGGTCCAAACAAAAATTAAGAATGGGTAGATCTGCTATTTACCCTAAGTGATTCAACTGTGCAGTATATGCATGTGTTGAAACAATGCACTGTACCTGACAAAAATAAATATAAATAAAATTGAGGGAAAAAAAAAGAATGGGTAGGATTATATGAGGAAGAGAATCGAAAAGATGTTACAGGTGGAAAAGTGTGAAAGAAGGTATAGATGGAAGTGTTTGGGGGCAAAAACCAATCTGTTTTAGCAAGTGTAAAGCTCATAACAGGGAGAGAGGGATAAGAACAGATTTTAAAAGGCGGGGTTTCATGAGTATCTTTCCTTCTCTCTCTCTCTCTCTCTCTCACACACACACACAGAGATCACTCAGGGACATAACCCTGAGGGACATGAGGTACAGAAGGAGTGGAGAAGTAACAGCAGTCAGCAAGGGCCTCTGGGTTGGCTAAAGAAATAGAACTGGGACTGAGGGGAAAGAGGGTCTTGTCTATGGTACACTGCTCTGCAGTGACCTCTTCTGGATGAGTCAGAAAGTACATCCCTGGGCTTAAGAGAGGGATTTCTGCAAAGACAAATAAATGAAGTTTTTCCAACTAAGGTAAAGTACCTTAAATCGTGTTCCAAACCAAAACGATACAATCATGTCTCTGTTCAGCTGGGCCCAGACATAAAGTACTGACATGATCAAAGGAATCATCAGCAACTGCAAAAGAAGTCAACATGTAAAAACTAGGCTCCAGAGGCACTAAGAGAGGCTTAGCATAAATCTACTATGCTTTTTACTTTTTACCCCTCCTCTTCAAAAAATATTTTCATGTGGGTATTCAAAAACCAAAAGGAAATTCAGCTAATCAGAATGATAAATTGATGCTATTATTTAATTTATCATACAATGAATGCTAAAAAATCCTATAATAAAATACAACACAATCATTTTAGATGGATTCAGAAATATCAGGGTAAGCTCTGTTGCTTGCAAAAATTAGGCAACAAAGCTATATTTACCATATAATCTCAATCTTTAAAAAATACATATCCACAGACATGCCCAGAACACTGGATAACCGTTATTCTCAATGTTCAAATGTAATAAAGAAGCCAGAAATGAGAAAAAAAAGCAATGATTTAGATAAGTCATGTAAGATCTTCAAGGTTTTGGCTGACTTAAAATCTTCAAAATAAAACAGCTATAACTTTATAATTTCAAAACACCCACATAATCTCATAGTTAGTGCAATTTCTGTCAAAGGCCAATAATAGTAAATATGAAACATATAAAAGGGCAAAGAGATAGTTTAAAAGGACACTTACCTGCATATCCATTGCTAAGCCAGTAATCTTGATTGGTAAAGTTAAAGATCTGATATAAAGAATGCATTCTGTACCTAGTCAAGACGGGTTATTTTCCCCCTTTTAAATGTTAATTTCATTCTAATGTTCTGAAGGAAAACACTTTTCTATAGTTCAGATTGCTTAAAACATCCCAAAACACAAAGGTATCTAATAATCATCATTATGAGTATTCCATTAGACTATGCTAAGACAAGAAAATGGTAGAAATTAACAGCTTTGACATATGACAGTTTGGTCACCTGGCATCCTCTTTCCCTCTCCTTGCCACTGCTTTGCAGAATCTCTCCTTCAAATAGAGGATGGAGATGGCTGTCCCCTTTGAAATAAATAATGATTTTATTCATATTCAGGACTCTAGAGCATGGCCGAAATCCAAAACAATTTTTTTCTTCCCTTAAAGGATGGGAAAGGGCATCCAAAGTGTCACGCTTTCTGGCTCTTGGCCAAGTTTAAGTGGGAGCTGAGTCCAAAGGCAATTGTGAGCTCACCAACTTCTGCTCCTCTTGCCATCTGTAACAGCCCGCCGTTGGAAGGCTGCTGACGGCTGTGGTTAAACAAAGCAGAGATGTACTGTGTCCCGTCTCAGAGCTGGGTACTTTACTGAGGGACTGAATTGCTACTTGTTACCCCAAGAGGAAGACAGCAGTGAATCAGAAAAGGATGCTGATTGCAAATTAATTTTCTGATAAGGATCACAGATTTTAAAAGCTGTCTCATGGTACAGAATCTCTTGGTGCTTCAGTCAACAAGCTGTCACACATGAGAACACAGAGAACTGGGAACAAGAGGGAACAGTAATAAAACTCAACCAAATGTGGAAAAATCCTACAAAGGCAATGGTGAGCGACTGCATCACTCAAGGGCTATAGGATTTACTACAGATTTTAAAAAGAACTTTAATTATTCTTCATCATTAACTGTAGTAAACAAAAGATACAAATACTATAATTCATAAAGTTTTTAAAGAATAATGTCTATTTCCCCCAAACTGTAAAAAACTGGGTTATTTCTGGCCCAAAATAACAGACTGAAGGATACGACGATGCAAATCCAGTTAAAGAGAAGCATAAATAAATAGTCTGCTGGCCTCCCATCAAAAGCTCCTGGAAACAAAAATAAGCCAAATGTCATGGTTCAGAATTTCAGAACAAAGTAACATCTATGTACAGAAACACTTCAAAAAATTAGAGAATGCCAAAATGAGAATATTTTTTAAAATTGCTCTTCTCAAGAAAAGTGAATTTTTTTCTTCACTTGGTTTTTTCTTCACATGGTTTAGAAAATATCTAAACCATGTCCTCAATAAAGCCCTGAACCAAAGTCACCTGAGTAAGGTTAATCTATAGTCTCCTAACTGAATTCCAGTAAGTAACATGCTCTAACTACCAAGGGCTAAAACAGACCCAAAGAGAGGACAGTCAATTCCACAGTTACTAAGCCCCCCATCCCAAAGACCAGTGAGGTCCCCCTGAATTCCCTCCCTCACAGTGTGGCGGCCTTTCCTTCTTGGCTCTCTTCCTGACCTGATGGACACATTTATGATTACGTGGTTAATCCCTGTCTCCCTCCACTAGATCATAAGCCTGTCAGAGAGGAACCATGTCTGTTTGCTTACCATTGTGTCTCCTCCAGCATGACTACATTGGGAGGTACTTACTATTATGAGACACACATATACACACACACACACAACCCCAGTCCCTGTCTTCCCAGAGCTTACATTCTAGCAAGGGGAAGCAATGTGGGGAAGGGGGAATAAAGGGACAGTCAAACCTTCCCACAGCCTCTGACTCTTACTCCTCACTCCTCCTATTGCACTTGCGAGGTCGAATGGAAAGACCTATGACCTGCTTTTTACAGATGAGTAAATAAAGCTAATGACCACAGTCACACAGCTTATTAGACACAGAGTGAAGTTTAGTGCCCTTCTCACTGCACCATATACCAGGCTCTCTCTTATTACTGGGCAGAACAATCAACAACGACCCAGCTCTCTCTTCTAAGGAGGATTCCTAATGCCTTCAGCTGGAAGATTTTAAGAGAAGCAGAGAAAAGAAACAGAAATGGCTGTAAGGTCACTCTAGCTCAAATGTTATCTTCCCTCCCCTCCACACCACATTGCAGTTACATGATATAGCTAGTCAAATTAAGAAAAAAAAAAAAATCCTACCAAGTGTCAGAAAGGCAGAAAGATATATCTAAAAGAAAACAGGTTTCCAGCAAGAGTCTTTCCTCTCCTTTACTTCTCCCTTGTTACCTCAAAGGTACACTTCAGCAACAGTGTTGAGAATGCTTGGTGCATTCTTATTCACTATGATGAATCAGCGCTGAAATTCTGAATTTTAATAATAGTTCTGCTTCTTTTGATGTGGTTTCAGCTTTGTGATTTCTAAGGATTCTTTAGATTGAGTATTTAAAATATTGTAATCACATGAACTACAGTACTATATTATTTGGCATGCTTTCCACTGGGAATTTACAAATTAAATGGTCTCAAATTGCAGATCTCCAGTTCAAATCACAAACCTCATAAATAAGCCAACACTGCTATATACTCAACAATTTAGGGCTGGCCAGTTAGCTGACTTGGTTAGAGTCAGGTGCTGATAACTCCAAGGTCAAGGGTTCAGATCTCCCTACTGATCAACCACCAAAAAAAACCCAAAAGCTAAAAAAACAACAAAATATAGAAAGGCAGGAAAATATGCAGGTGGCAAACACTTTTTCTTTTTCTTTGACGGTAAGGGGATCACAACTCTCCGCACGGTGTTGTCTGCACCACGCTCTGCTAGTGAGCGCACCGGCCATCCCTATATAGGATCCGAACCCGTGGCCTCGGCACTACCAGTGCCACACTCTCCCAAATGAGCCACGGGGCCGGCCCAGCAAACACTTTTTCAAAACGTTAATTTAAGGGCCGAGCCCGTGGTGCACTCGGGAGAGTGCGGCGCTGGGAACGCAGCGGCGCTCCTGCCGCGGGTTCGGATCCTATATAGGGATGGCCGGTGCGCTCACTGGTTGAGCGCGGTGCGGCCGATCTCAAAAAGGACAAAAAAACAAACAAACAAACAAACAAAAACATTAACTTAAGTCTGTAGGGTCAAAAGGAAACTGGAATTGATAAACCTGGGTTCCCATCCTAGCTGTGTTACCTCCAAACCACTCCAAACCACTGTTTTCTTGTCTATGAAATAAGAGGGTTAAATAAAACAATCTCAAAAGTTCCTCTCTATATGTTCATAGCAACATAATTCATAATAGCTAAAAAATGAAACCAAGTCAAATGTCCATCAACTGTTGAATGGATAAACAAAATGTAGTATATCCATTCAATGGAATCTCATATGGCAATAAAAAGGAATGAAGTACTGATACATGCTACATGGAAGAACCTTGAAAACATTGTCAAGTAAAAAAAGCCGGTCACAAAAGGCCACATACTGTTTGATTCCATTTATAAGAAATGTCCAGAATAGGCAATCTAAAGAGGCAGAAAGTAGATTAGTGGTTTCCTAAAGGTTGCAGGGGAGGAGGGGGTTGAATACAAATGAGGAATAGCTGCTAATGGGTACAGGATTTCTCGCTGGGGTGACAAATTGTTATAAAATTGATTGTGATAATGATCGTACAATTCTGTGAATACACTAAAAACCATTGAATTGTACACTTTAAATGAGTGCACTGTCTGATATGTGAGTTATATCTCAGTAAAGCTGTTTAAAAATGCCTCAGCATAAGCATTTCAAAATGCTCTGTGACTGGTGAGTAGAGAATGATGGGGCAACTTTTAAGAATCAAAGCAAACAAAAGAGACTAATGGTCTAATAATCCCACAGATTTGTCTTAAATGTTATTCAGATAAAATAATAATACAAATTAGTTGTATTATCTGATTAGGAAATAGGGATGGGAAAAGGGGTTCAAGGACCTTAAGTAAGCTAGAGAAGCCAATTAAAAATAAAAAGTGGTCATGGAATTATTGTAATTTAGATTTAATAATAGTATCAGAATTATTTTTTAAGTCTTTATATTTCAGAGATAAATACTGAAATGTTTATGAATGAAATGATACCATGTCTCTAGCATTTTGATTCAAATAATAAGGGTGGGGTGGGGGATAGCCATGGATACAGATTAAAAAAAGACTGGCTAAGAGATAACTGTTACGGGTAGGTGATAGCTAAATAGGGGTTCATACTGACACATGCTACAACATGGCTGAACCTTGAAAACACGCTAAGTGAAAGAACCGAGTTACAAAAGGACATATAAAATGGGGCTGGCCTGTCAGCTCACTGGGTTGGAGTGTGCTGTTGGTAACACCAAGGTCAAGGGTTCAGATTCCTGAACTGACCAGCCACCAAAAAAAGAAAAAAAAGGCAGTGGAAAAGGACATATGAAATGTCCCCCGTAGGCAAATTCATTTTCACTGAAAGTTGATTGTGGTTGCCAGATGCTAGGAGGAGAGGCAGGTAGGATGGAGGGTGACTACTTTGGGTTTTGTGGGGGGATGATGAAAATGTTCTGGAATTAGGTTGTGGTGACGGTTATATAACATTGTGAACAGACTAAAGACCACTGAGTTGTCAATTTAAAATGGTTAAAATGGTGAGTTTTATGTCACTTGAATCTGATCTCAGTAAAAAGGCGAAAAAAAGGTTCATTAGTCCTCTCTACTTTTGTACGTGTTTAAAAATTTTCCATAATAAAGTTTTAAATAACTGGTCATTGATCATCCACACTTAATCTAGTTTACTACTGATATATTTTTTTAAATTACTCCAATAACTTAATCATCAATTAAATTATATCAGAAGGTTAGAATGAAAATCATATGAGGGTTCAAAAAGTTCATGGAAGAATTTGTATTACCTTTTAATTCTATTTTTCCATGAACTTTTTGAAGTATCCTCACATATTCTGGAAGATTTAAGGATCAAAAACCTCTGATACAATGGTGAGAGGCCTAGTTGTCAGCTGTACCTCAGCCAAGTCACTTCATTTCCTTGAATCTACATCTACTATTCTTCCTGTAAAACTCAGGGAACGAGCTAGGTCCCTCCCAACAATAATAATCTATGACCCTACACTTTGTACGAATATAGTTTCTTTATTTGTTTTTAAAAAGCACCTAGGGAGCTTGCCAGTTAGCTTAGGTGGTTGGAGTGCAGCCTTGTAACTTCAGGGTCATGGGTTCAAATCCCTGTACCAGCCGGCCACCAAAAAAAGAAAAGAAAAAAAAAACCACCTAAGGGCAAATGCCAATTTAAGGGAAAACTGTATTTGACACCAAATGCTCATCCTACTATTTCCCTGCAGTTATGAGATTGATTTGCAATTCTCAAATATATGAACACTGACTTAGATTTCAGGGTGGTTCAGAATTCTCTATCCTGAGCTAACAGCAAGCAGGTTTATAAAGTCTCTGAAGTCAGCCAACCTTTTCAAAATCATTTAGGCTTAGGAAAATTATATTCATATTTTGACATAGCATATCAATTTATAGCTTCTTAGCATATGCAACTCAGAACAGAATATAAGGTATTGTAGGAAATAAAAAACAGTTCAGTAACATACTTTTAAGAAAAGATTTTTATAGCTTATCCATAACATCATATAAGTAGCCATATCTGATAAACTACCATATTATTAAATTACGGCTACCTATTTTAAAGTTCACTGTTTGAATTACAGAGGATAA